TCTTTATCATGCGACGCAAAGCAGCACAATATCCCTCAGTATGTTCAGCTAGCAAGGGCACTTCCTGCTATTCAAAGGCAGACTGCGTTGAACAGCAGTAATGAGCCCATCCACATCAAGAGCCAAAATAAAAGCCCAGCTTCCCAACTGGCAAAAACAACAGGATGCCATTGCAGAAGGGGAACTGATAAGTCCTGTATGGCATCAGAACTTTAAATGTGGGGGGGAAGAGACATGTTATTTTACATTTCACACAGCCAAATACACAATCCAGCAGTCTGATCTGTTCACGAAGGATTTAATGGCTATATATGTGCCAGCGTGTGGTAAGTAAAAAAAGATGAATAAATATGTGCAAAAAGCTGGATGGAAAGTGATGATGAACGATGGCAAACGGTTAGCCCCTGTAATAATGAATATAAATGGATGATGAATGGGTGGAATGAGTGGGACTCGACAAAAAGGAAGATGAGGGGGAGTAAGAAAATAACCACTCCAGAAGGAATGAAAAGAACGGAGGAGCAGCAGGACGGCTGTAAAAAGAAGCTGTGATGAAAAATGTTAGCGCATTTGGATTGATGAAAAGAGCCCAGGGAGAAGTAGCAGTGATGAATGGAGAAGACAAAGATGAAGAAGGAAATTACTTTAAGGTGGGAGCACCTGAAAGGCATGAGGTGGACAAGTTTGGTTATGAGATGATGTGGATAAATTGAGACAGAGGGGGATGGGAGAAAGAGAGGGACGAACTGGTGAAGACTCATTAGCCTACGCAGGATTGGTACATTCAGTCGTTCCCTGCTCTACTGTTTTATCTCCCTCTCTTCTCTCTCCTTTTGTTCTCCAGAAATATCCAAGTGGGCGGGAGAGAGAGTAACGGGGTGTGTGAGAAAGGAGGAGAGAGTTACAGTAAGTGCGATGATGGCAGAGTGAGGGGGACGACAACAGAAAGCGACAGAGGAAGTACATGAGTACAGAGCAGGCCTGCTGTCTTTGAAATATTTTTCCATTATAAAATGCCAATAGTGCGTAAAGGACACCTGATTTCATAACAAAAACAACTCATTACCTCACTCTCAAGTGTCTTCCACAGAGGCAACAAGTCTGGCTTTTAATAAAGTGAACTTCCACCAATGCCAGAATAAATATATGTGAAACATTTTGCTCATTAGGATTCAGGGAAAACAAGCACTGGCGTTACATCACACATCAAAGCACACATATTTAATGTGGGATGGAGTTTTTATTATGAATGAATTATAAATTTTTTATGAATTATTATGTCTATTTTTTTTTATGTTTTATGGACAACAGATGGAAATTAGCCCTTGGCTATAATCTGGTATGTTTACATGCATGTAATTTTTTTTTACATTTATGTTCATTAACATGCACTGTCCTAAATAAATTAATTAAATTAAAATTAAATTAATAAGAGAGGGCACTGATCACATGTCACCCATTTTAAAGGTACATTAGGCAGAAAACACAAAAGGTAGACATGAACCACACAACAACAACAGTAGGTCTGGCTGATTTGGGGAAGGATTTGTTGTCTTTCATCAACATACCTTCCAATATTTTACAGATAAATCACTGAACTGACAGAAAATACTCTGAAATATAGAATTAACTGATCTTTAACTAGTCTTCAGCTTCAGTCCTATCCCAACAGTGCTGTTTTCGTCTCCTATCAGCTGGAATAGTTGATGTTCGCGACACTGAACAAAACCTCAGGAGGAATTTCATGAGGTCAGAGGTAAAAGTTTTAAGCAATTCAACTGCTAGCAATTACCCAAAAGCCGCATTAGTTGTCTGCCAAGTTATCACTGAAGTAGCAGCTAGTGGTTTCTTCTTCGGGCTGGTCCCCTTAGAGGTCACCACAGCAGACAATCTGCCTTCTTCTCACGCTATCCATAGCATTCCCTTCTGTTACACTAACCCTTTGTATGTCATGCATGAGCCTCCTCTGTGGCCTCTTTTCCCCATATTTAACATCCTTTTTCCAATATATCCACCATCCCTCCTCTGCACCATCTAAAATATAAGCCTTGCCTTTCTAATTCCATCTCCAACCGGAGTTGTCCGTCTCTCACTCCCAATGAAAATCCACCTCCAGCTTGGCTTCCTCTCTTTCTGTTAGTGCACCCTCTATAGCAGGTCTCACTACCATCTTGTAAACCTTGCCCTTCACTCTAGCTGCTATCATTCTGTCTCAAATCACTCCTGAAACTTGTCTCCACCCACTCCACCCTGACTGCACTGTTCTTCAATTCTTTATTGCATTCTCCATTGCTTTGGATGGTTGACTCCAGGTTTTTAAACTGATCTACCTTCACTACTTGTGCTACTTGCTACCTTTCAACCTCTCACTCACACAAACACTCTGTCTTGCTTCTACTGAGTTTCGTTTCTCTTCTCTCCAGAGCATCCCTCCACGTCTCTGGGCTCTCTTCCAGCTGCTCACTACAGATCACAATATCATCTGCAAAGATAGTCACAAAGTCTACGTTCACACTGCAGGTCTTAATGCTCAATTCCGATTTTTTGATCAAATCCGATTTTTTTGTCTGCTTGTTCACACTACAAATAAAATGTGACAGCAAACGCGCTCTAGTGTGAACGCTCAAAGGACCCGCATGCGGAAAAGAAGACGTCACACACAACGCAGCCTGTTTAGACCCAGAGCAAACAGTATTGTTTGACTGATGGCCCTTAATATAAAGACTTTGGACTTTACGTTTCCCAATTTTGCTTGAAGTTATAAAGTTATTTGGTTATTTACATATGGCCTAATAATTATCCTTATTGCTGTTTTAGAGAGGAGCGGTGCGTCAAAGGATAGTTGCAGATTTCTGTCAGAATCTGCAGATTATACAGTACAAATAAAATGTTCACGTTTCTCCAACGTTGTCCTCCCAACAGTTTCACTGGATGGCCAGGAAGCGTTCACGATGTCTTCTCGGGCGCTTCTCTGATAATTGGCGTCTGTCTTGTGTCAGTGACGTAAAAGACGGATTTAATGCGACATGACCGTTCAAACAGCAGTCGCTTTCTAAAACATCAGATATGTATCGGATTCAGCACCACATACGAAAGGGACCCAGGTCGGATTTGAAAATATCGGATTTGTGCTGTTCACACTGTCATACCATGATCCGATAAGAGTCGCATAGGATCAAAAAAGTCGGATTTGATGTGCTTTCGCCTGCAGCGTAAACGTAGTCAAAGAGTCTCCTGCCTGACCATCAGCACTGCAAACAAGAAGGGGCTCAGAGCGGATCACTGATGCAATCCAACCCCAAGACTAGCAACTGGACAGAAACAGTGACACCCTACCTTAACAATTCTATTTGGTCAGCAATGAAAATATGGCAGAGTTACCAGAAGCACAGCACTAGCCGAGACAAGATTAATAGTAAGTCATCGTTGGGCTTTTGCACTACTTGCCCCTTATATACACCTTACAGTTATTACTGTATGTTTTGCTCTACATCAGCTAACTCAAAAAAATGTCTTTTCAATGATTTCAATGATGTTTGTATTCTTCTAATCTTTTTTAAAGTCCTAATTCTGTGATTTTCCTTCCCCCTAGGGCAGCGGTCCCAAACCCCTCGGCCACGGCCCGATGCCGGTCCGTCAGTCGTTTGGTACCGGGCCGCGAGATTTGAGGCTCAGGTGTGAAATTAATGGTTTTCAGGCTTTTTATCATTAACTCAGTTTCCCTGGGTCTTTTCCCATGTGGAAATTGTGTGTCTTATTTTGAAAGAAATATTTACACGTTACCATAGCGACCAGAGAGCATTAAGGGGCAGAGAGGAGGATGTTACTCTCACTGTCGTTGGTGCATTTCAGGAGGACGCTGCTAATAAAGTTACACAATTACACAGTGAATTCGCATTTATTATTATATTTACAAAATACCACAGTTTTTGTCTTGGTTGTATCGCTTAATTTTGTTGTAATTACCCGCGACACCTTAAAGGCCAGTCCGTTAAAATAGCGTCTGACATTAAACCAATCCGTGGTGCAAAAAAGGTTGGGGACCGCTGCCCCTAGGGTACTGAAATAGGTATTGAGTACTGAGTAAGATCAAAACCGAGGTTGAAATTGTTCTCACAACTTATTTGATGCTCAGGTTTAGTTCTTTTTCTGGTTTATTTGCTGTGTATCCACATCTCTGAAAATTACTCAAAACCTTGTTATAATTAATAAATATTTAAAAGAAAAAAACTATTCTTTCATCCTCTTTATATATATGAATATGGAAGACCCCCATACCTAAAGAGGAGCGGATGGAGAAGGATGAAAGAAAAATGGCAGAGAGAAGTGACATTATTGTAAGGGAACCAAAAACCAAGCAGAGATATCTGCTGTTATTAATAAACCTGAAGACATAAAGGATGACAGATATGAGCTGAAACACCACACTGAATTCCCATTAAGACACAGTATGTTCTCTTTTTACAGCCACCTATCAGACACCTTGGCCTCTCCAGCTATTTCACTCTGTATTCATGTATCTATGAACAGCACACAGTCTCCCTCACACACACACACACACACACACGCACACTGTCGCGGCTAAGGTGTGGCACGATGCCGGCAAGACACGAACTGCCGTGGAAGCCCGGGTCAAGGTGACACCCTGCACAGCAGCCACAATAGAGCAAACAAATCAGTTTCAGAGTGGGTTTGACACATGCTGCCAACACCAGTCAAAAAACAGACACTCAATGCTGCTCTTAAATCACACACTTGAACCCTTCACCTCCCAAAGTACACATTGAGACACCTACACACTGGCTTCCTGAGATCAAGAGCTGCTCAGACTTGCACCGTGAAACAACAAAAACCTTGCGAAACAATTAACAAATCAGCCTTGATGAATAGTGGCTCTTACCAAAGCATGTTTCTACTGCTCCCCAAATTCAAAGTGGAATTCAGAAATCCCCACATTTATTCAATATAACCATCCGTCTCTTCCGATTCATCCGACTCACCTTTGTCAGTTGTTCCCCCGTCTGCCTAGGCAATAAAAATCCTGCACCATAGTAAGAGAGAGCTTAAACAAAAAAAGAGAGAGAGAGGAGATAATAAAGGCACAGTGAGGTGAAAAAAAATACAGGAAAGAAAGAAGGCAAAGAGAAGAGGACAAAAGATAGAGGGAGGGAATAAAAGGGAAAAGAGGGAGCGAGAGAGAGGTAAAGAACAGCCCAGACAGGCAGAGAGCTCTCCACAATGTGATGCGAGCGCCAGGTGTCAGCACGCATACACTCACTGAGGCGCGCATGCACACGCTCACACATTCGCATACCCACAAACACAAGCAGACAGGCAACTCTCTCTCACTCTCATGCTCTCCTCTCCTCCTCCTCCTCTTCCTCCTGCTCCTCCTCTTCTCGCTTTCTGGCAGCGATAACTCTCCCCCATCCTCCTTCTCTCTCTTATTCAGCCGCGGTAAAATGACTTAACTCTTAAAAAACCAGTCATTTTCAAACCTAACCTTTTCTATTCAGCTCAGTCATTAATTATTATCAGATTCACTTTAAAGGGTACTAACTGTATGCCTACTTGAACTATTATTTTTGTCTAATAAGAGGCAGAACACACAAGCTGCCTTTTGTGGGTCCATTAAGTCTGAGAATTATCTGATTCTATCTGCCACGACTGCACCAGAATATTGATTACTAAGTCGCCTGTCTTTGTGTAGGTGATAACCAGTTGGCGTACACTAGCCGCAACCAAGCAGCAACCTTTAAAACTGAAAACTGATGCTGATACATTAGTGTCAAAACTGCAGTTCCCCAAATGACCACTTGAGGCAAACTCCAAACAACCCTCATAGCTTCCAATGTTAAACTGTATGGTGTCTGTAGCCATTTTCACCCTTTGTGACAACTACAGGAGGTACATTTTACTATAAAACATCATTTTTGGGGTGTAGCTGCTTTGAGTGACAGATACGGTCCATTTAAGTAATGTATTACAAAATACTCTCCGGAGAAAGTAATTTGTTACACTACTCGTTGCATTACTTCTTTGCTTCCCAATAATGAGTTAAAAGCATGATGCTGAACTTTTCACATGCCTGCAGATTTCCACATGTTCATCAAAGTTGATGAAAAGCAGTCAACACAAGACTTTACAGGAACATCCTAACCATAGCATGGCGGTGCAGTGGTTAGCAAAAGAGAAATTCATTCATTTGTGATTCTAAAGTGGCCTTAGGTGTGAACCCTTGTGTATTTGTATTAGCCCTGAGATGCTGGTGACTTTTCCAGGACTTTTCCCCCTTCTTGCCATATGACAGCTGGAGTAAGCTCTAACCCCAACCCAAACCTCAGCTGGTACTGAGGTATCCACTCTCAGGGTCTGGGGATGAATTGCTGCCAGCTATGTGTTAGCATCATAGATAGATTTTTGTGCCAATTCTGTCCGTCTCTCACATGAAGAGGTCAAGCACATGAAAAGGCAGGTCTGGCTTTTCTGTGTCTACTCATAATGCAGATAACTGAAAAAATTAATTTCCTGCAGAAAATGTGATTATAATTTGATATTGAATTTAATAGTTAAATAATAAAAAATGTATTTAAATTATTAATACATTAAAAGTAAATTAAAAAATTACCCAATTCGGTTTTTAAGCCTGTTTATCCCCCCCCTAACTAATGCACCTAGCAGGCAAAGCTAGCAAGCTACTGTTAGCATTAGCTGACAACCCCAGGGGTTTATGCTTTCATCCATCACCATCACTTTTTAATTAAATACTCAAAAGAGGCTAAGACCCTAGTAATGAAACCCAAGGCTTCAAAACCACAGCACAAAAAGCAGTAAGTGACATCATGGAGCTGCGTCCATCTTTAATATACAGTCTATGGGTTTAACACTGATTTTTGCGGAGTGAAAACAGCTGGAAACAATACTATGAAAGCTGTGAGAACTGACAACAGTAAATCTGAAGGTGTTAAAAAAATGAGCTGAAGGGGAAGGAGCTGCAGCGTCAGTCAATTTTTAGTGTTAATATTAATATAACATTTTGGTAATCACATTATTTGATCTTGTTCACATGGAAATGGGATTTAAATAGAATAAAGTTCTGATTATCTTTTGTAAGCATCTTTTCTATCATGGGTGGCAGAAAAACATGCCTACACAAAATAATTCAATTATTTAAGGTTTTTCACAAATGTGAAATACTTTTCTCACATTTTTAGTTACACAGCTAGTGAAGGTGGAAAAACAGGATGGGTATCCATTTTTAAAATTCCTTTCAGTGGCATCTTACAAAAGCAACAAGAGAAAACTGAAAGGTGGGAGGCTTATGCTCCACTATCTAGTACATGTGTTTTCTCCCAAATCCATATGTGATACATCGGTTCTCAAATTGCTTCTTCGATTTCTATTATTTTAGTCGCACAAAAGATTCTTTTTCTAGACTACATGCACTTCCTTTGTAGACAGGCGCAGTATGGATATAGGTGATGTCTTAAAAGCTCCAGTATTACAGAGATACAATACAGCAGAGCGCTCAATACCCATCAGGGAGGTACAGCTGAGAGATGCCTTTGTGAAAATTCTTAACATTTTCTTGTGTATTGAGGCATAGCAGGAGCTTCTAGATAATAGTATTCACTCCAGCCTGCTCTTTTTTCTGTACTGTTTCATGAATTTGAGTGTATATATAGACACAAATGCTATTTTCTCTGCTGATTAGGTTATGTTTAAATTCCCTTTTTTGTTCCACTGAATATTCTGGAAACTTGTTACTAGATTTTAAAGATATCCAGTAAATATAATCAATAAGCTGTCATGGCTTTTGTCAGTAAAATAGATTTAACACAAATGCAGACTAAACATACAAGGCAGGAATGGATTTCATGGGATTTACTGACTGCTGCAAAAATAATAAAGCCTAAAACTCTAACTGGTCACAGCAGATGACTACTTCCTGGTAATGGGGCGTTCTTCCTTCCTACCATTGCAAAGCGTATTACATTGTCTTTCTCTTTCAATATAAAGCATCTTCAGGGGATTTATTGGGAATAAGTGCTGTGTAAATAAAACTGAATTAAACTGAAATATAGGCAGGAATTTGAGTTAGCAAGCAAACAAAATTGATAAGCTTAGAGAGACAAAGAGGCTCCATTATGCTAAGCTCTGTCTCTATACATTTTTTTCTTTGCCTCTACTAGAGCATCTGTGCATAAGCCATAAGCCATCTTTTATACTGGGCCCCTTCCCTTCTTCTCTTTCATACAATTTTCTTCTAATTGGCTGCCCCTCACAGAGAAAAGGTTTGCACTGCAGGTGGGAGGGGCTGCAACATGCACAGCTGTGTGCCTGAGATGACCATATTAGGAATACCCACCTTCATCAACATCAACAGAACAGGAGAAACTATTAGAAACAGGGCATTTAGAGCAATCGGACACCTGAGCTTTTGGCTCAGTAGGATTATCTGCACATATGCTATGCTAACTAATTCATTTTTAACCAATCCTTATTATGAGCATCCACCACTGGAACTGAGAGAAACAAAAATAATATATATACACTACATAAAATGTTATGTGGTAAGCCTTGTTTGATGATTATTTCATTTTCTGATAGCAGGAGGGGAGAAAAAGGGAAAAAAATGCAGTTCATGAGTGAACTAAGGATGTTTTGGATTTCTGTTATATGCCCTCACCATTATGCTACTGGGGCTCCCCATGCATAGCCCAGCAGAGGCAGGGATACAAGTGCTTTTAGAGTGCTTTCAAGCTTTTATTTATTTTCCTCATTCATTTTTGAATCAGAAGTGTCAGCTGCCTTTTATTCCTTTGTATTCCTTGTTTCTTGCACAACAGTAACATTAATTGAAAAACAATACATTTCAATGTTATAATACAAATTGTGGTTGCAATTCTGTTGATTAGACAATTTAAAATAATGATTTAAAAAAAAAAAGAAAACTGTGCATTGTTAGACTAACTGATTTAAAAAAATAGTTATTACAGTTATGGCAGTTGCTGTCCTAAATTATCCAGTCAAAGACATTAACTACATGCATTTCAGTGGCACCATATTATTTGCCCAATATAGATTTTTTACTTTTATGCTCATGATTCCCTCAAAATTGTTCTTCTTACTCCTTTAACATACTCAAGTAAATTAAGCTATTAATCCAAACATAGCTAATATATGGTGCATAAATGATCTTGCCACATTTGCATCCCTGTTGGTTTCCCTGAACATAAAGCGTCTGACACAACTCCTTGTTTGACTTTTTTAGTAAGGATACCAGCTGCTAAATGTCAGTTACTCCACAGCCACTTATATGTCCCCTTAAACAAGCTATGAACATGAACACATGAGGTAAGAGAAACGACACTGATCCAGATTCAGAATAATGTCACCAATGGAAAGACGGGCCACCTGCTCTAATATTACAATATACCATCATTATTTAGTTTTTTTCTTGGTTAAACAGGTTTCTACTGTGTACGTCTACAAAGGGGAAAAAAAGAGGAAAAGGCCATACAGGGATAGCAGGAAAATGAAAAAAAAAGCCCGAGGAAAGGGAAGAGAAATGCACGCATCCATTTACTGATATTGACGTTGTGATCAGAGACGGAGGAGAGGTTAGACCCACGCATTATGCTGCCCACTCCCTACTGATCTGAAATATACAGCTTCCCTTACAAAAGAGCTACATGAGAGAGAGGCACAGCCAGTCTCTTGTGCTTGTCTCCATTTAAATGTCACTGTACTGCAGCACAGCATGTGATTTTACTCAAAATAGCCAGAGAACGGCCGTCGGAACTGACAATGTCATCGTGAGGAGTTCAAGACCCTGCGGAGGACAGTCCGCCACATAACATACTGGTTTCAGCCACACATCAGGCCTTTAATATAGATTCATGAAGGCAATCAAGCCAGACCTGCTGAGTGTGGAAGCCAGACTGGTGGCTTGACAATCAGATGCATGATTCATGCCATCTTTTACACATCAGAGAGTACTAAAGTAAAAAGCCATAAGAGGATGTGCTTCACTATTGCGACGATGGTGATACAAAGGGAACAATGTGGAGTTGAGTACCATTGGCAACAGTGAGTATTGCCTGTTATAGCACAGAATCCACTTCACTGTATTGTGTGTGTGTTTTGTTTTATTTCAGCAGTTAGCAATAACTGTCTTTATAGCTTATTCTAAAGGAGTATGTGGTGAAAGACAAAAAACCCCCAACAGATTTCTCACTGTAGATGTTTGGATGTGTCACAGTAGGAACAGAATGGATTTTATTAACAATATCTGTGCTCCATAGGTAGCAGATAACCAGATTTCCAAGCAAATTTGATGCATTGTAATCCAATATAATGAAAAAAGTGGCAACAATGACACCTCCATTGTGACAGTTATCATTACAAGGGAAGAGGACATAAAAAGTTAAGTAATTAAAGCCAATTAAAGCCATCAAAGCCTGGCTAGTTCCTTCCTGTGATGAAGGACGTGCTCCTGGTGCCTGCATGGGTTTTCTCCCACTGTCCAGATGTCCTGCATCTTAGGCTTGAAATGTTGGTGATTCAAACCTGGCCATGGATGAGAGATGGATAAAGTGCTTTAAATGTACAGAAAAAAAGGACTGTATGTGTATAAATCTCTCTTGTACTCTAAAGCACTTTAAGTGATCTGTAAGACTGGAAAGTGCTCTGTAAATGCCAGTTCACTGTCCACACGCAGCCCGACATGATGACTGGCTCTCACAGGAGACAACCAAGTAGAATTTGCTGCAATAGAAAATTACTTTGATACAGAAAGAATAACAGTTAAAAGATGAGTCCTGTGTGAAAATGAAAAGGTGACCTTTTATATGCTCTTGTTTTGAGCAGCTATCTATCCCACATAGTGATATGACCCTTGAAAGCTCACCCAACATCCACTTTTTGAAGTTTTCCCCAGTGAAGTGTCAAGAAAGACCAATCGTTCAGGTAACCAATGCTTGTTTCTGTCACGCCACATCACACGTAACATGGTGCGATTTTGCTATTTAAACTGTAACACAACATATGAGAATGTTCATTATGAAGAAAACTAAGGTCAACAATGAAATTTTGGCTTTAGATTTTGGGTTTAACCAGAGATAGACTCAAAAATGAATGCATGTTTCAGCCGTGAACATTTCATGTGTACATCTGTCGTACATTTGATCAGATTGAACCGATGTCATGACATGACTCTCACTATATAAGAGGTTTCAGGGTGTAACATTCTTGAGCCTAAAGGACGCAAAGGAGGTCACTCAGCGAAGGCGTATGGGTGGCTGTGACGAGGGCTTTATGTGCATCAAGAGGCTCTGTTGAACCATAATGACGAGCCAATAAGTGCCTCCCACACTCCACAAGACAGGAGAGCGGCACGAATGACACTTCGGGCACATCGTCTCTTACCGCCCCGCGCCCTCTCAACAGTCCATCTACAAGTCTGAATTGTCTTTGACCTTCAGCACACTTTCATTTTGCTGCAGCTTTGTTACCATGGCATCAGTCAGGAGGCCACAGGTGCCTGATGAGGTGGGCAGCTTCGGGGCGGCTAAACGCCCACCTGATCAACACTGGTTGTATCGTCACAGACGCCACTGGAGGAGCAGCTTCTCCTGTTTTCTTTGTTGTTTAAGGAAGAACGTTCACGTCACGTAACCTTTGCAGACCAGTTCCATAGTGAGTACTCTAACAGATGATAGAGATGATAATGAGATTTCTAGAAAGAAGAGGAAAAGTTGAGGAAAGATGACTCAAGCACTGATAAAGAAACCCAATTATGCACGAGCATATATCTACTTTTAGATGGCATCTCACAGTTAGAACAGACTGTGCAGTCAATACTGCATGAAGGCACCTAAGAATGTCAACTGCTGAAAGAAGAAACTTAAATGACATGTTGCAGAGAAGCTCAAGCAGATTGTAGACATCAGACTATTTGTTCTCTGTAACCAAAGGTCAAAGCTTCTCGCAACAGCTGTGCACCGTATTGATTCACATATTCATTGTCTGCTTCACCAGCTACAGTCTGTGCTTACACAGCATGTTAATGTTCACATTTAAAGAGAATTAAGACATGCAGAGTTTAGCCAGAGAGCAGCAGAATTAAACAAAAGCAAAATAAATAGAAAAATCTGCAGCTGATTAATCAGTCCAGTCATTTTTGAATGCAAAAAGTCCATTTAGCCCTTGGGCTAGGTTCACACTGCAGGTCTTAATGCTCAATTCCGATTTTTTGATCAAATCCGATTTTTTTGTCTGCTCGTTCACACTACAAATAAAATGCGACAGCAAACGCGCTCTAGTGTGAACGCTCAAAGCGTTGCGCAAAAGAAGACGTCACACACAACGCGCTCTATTTAGACCCAGAGCAAACTATATTGTTTGACTGATGGCCCTTAATATAAAGACTTCGGACTTCATGTTTCCCAATTTTTGCTTTAAGTTATTTTGTTATTTACATAATAATGTAAATAACCTAATAATGATCCTTATTGCTGTTTTAGAGGAGCGGTGCTTCAAAGGATAGTTGCAGATTTCTGTCAGAATCTGCAGATTATGCAGTACAAATAAAATGTTCACGTTTCTCCAACGTTGTCTTCCCAGCAGTCTCACCGGATGGCCAGGAAGCATTCGCAATGTCTTCTCGGGCGCTTCTCTGGCGCTGATAATTGGCGTCTGTCTTGTGTCAGTGACGTAAAAGACGGATTTAATGCGACATGACCATTCAAACAGCAGTCGCTTTCTGAAACATCGGATATGTATCGGATTCAGTACCACATACGAAAGGGACCCAGATCGGATTTGAAAATATCGGATTTGTGCCGTTCACACTGTCACACCATGATCGGATATGGGTCGCATAGGGTCAAAAAAAAATCGGATTTGATGCGCTTTCGCCTGCAGTGTGAACGTAGCCTTAGTCAAGTGCCTTGAACATGGATTCTACATAAAGGCCACCAGATGGCGATTGCTGTGATTCCAAACTATCTATCTGGAACAGCTAGCCACAGGAAAATAGCCAATTTCCTGTGGAATCTATGGGTTCAATCACTCGTTTCAAATCACACTAAGTTTAATTAAGTATTTTGTACAACTTGCTCATACTATCTTTCATAATGGATAATTACCCATTGGCTAACAACTTGTCATTGACAAGTCGTTAGCCAATGAGCAAGCGGTTTCAAAATTAGACTTTAGAGATTTTTTTTTTGTTTTTTTAACTTAGATGATTAGCAGTAGCTATGAGGACCAACTACTTGTTACAAAAGTGCTTAGCTTCATTCCTTGGGAACATTGTCATAAACAAAATGCTATTTAAAGGCAGATCAGCTGTTTTTATTTTTTTTAAGGCTTTTGTGTTCCAGTGTTTGTGATTTTCTGTTAATGATTAGTATATTACTAGTAGAAGAAAAGCACTGACAACACTTAGGAGTGAGCTTAAATGTCAAATCCTCTGTATTTTTGTTGTCCACTGTTTTTCTTTAATATATATTTTAGGTTCATGCTGGACAGAGCATCGAAGGTGGAGAGAGAAAGATGAGGGAATGACCTGAAAATAAACGAAACCTTATATTTAAAAATACATTATTATGCTGTTAAAGAATCAGGGGAAGTGTCTTTTGTTTTTTAATCATTAAAAAACAACTTTCAATACATGAAAAATGCTACACGCTATATCTTTAACTATTGTAATTTTCACAAATATCACCAGAACTGAAGACAAAAACGTATTACATAACCACAGAAGCCGTGACATTTCACAATCTGCTGTGAATGGGGAAAACGAAGGTCTACATACGGTATCCCTCTGCAGGTGGACCGTGTTCACACATGTTAACAGAACGTGGTTCACTGAAATCCCTCCATTCATGTTTCCCTGGGTTCATTAATACAGGAAGGAAGGGGACATTCTGCGGAGCAGTAGGTGCCAATCTGTCGCTCTGTGGAGATCAGCCAGAATCAGCTCATGTTAGGCTGCCGCTGCCCTTCCTGTCGCCTCTTACATCTACCCGATAATATTCTACATTGTGGAATGATTTATTTCTACCCAGCCAGTGCAGTCACTAATGTTTACTGGATATTCCATAGCTTGCTCTGCATGTAAGTAGCAATATATATGTAAATATGCAACATCTGCATATGCATTTATTTCCAGTGCATTTATTAGATTTCAAAATACACCAACTACTCAGCAGATAAAATCTGAATTACAGCAAACAGAAAAAATGTAGTAAATAATGGATGAAATGGTGATGAATGGTTCACTATCCAGTATGGATATAGCAGTTGTTCTTTTATCAACAATATTAGATTATTTCCAAGGCTATTCCATAATATCAAGATCTTGTCAAGATCTTTAAGTTTATTCACAGAAATGCCAGCTAGGAGCTGCGCAAATGAACCAGAAGCTCATAAAAATTTGGTATGTATCTTTTCAACCAGGAAATCTCAATTAGGGTAATTAAAGTTTATAATCAATGGGCAGAGGAACACATGGGAACAAAATCATAGCATCAATTAAAACCGTACCATCAATGTCACAGTTTAACGTGGCCCGAAAGCATGGTGGTTTTAGACTATTTTTTACCATATTCATGTAGAAAATTGGTGAATAAAAAGCCAACTTAGTAAGTCGTGCAATTATTGAAAACGTCTACTTTTATCATGGAGGTTTCTATTAATTCAGATCAACCATCTGCACTTATTTATAGATATTAAAAAGTGTGCACAATATAGTCTAAAATGCTTTAAACTAACCTACATGGGATATTTTTTAAAAAAGTCAAAGCTATGAGAGAACGTCCGTCATTTCACAAGACTTACTCAGTGCAGGCGTGGTTGTTATCTGCTGCTAAAGACTGACAATAACTGCATTTACACCGCATTAGGCCGGGCTGTGGTGTCACTCCTTGCTTGTGCCTTAGAGCTCAAAACATGTTTGCTGATCTGATGATCTCTAATTAGATTTCTCAACCACTGTGGAAAATGAGCCATCAATTAGAATGCTGTAATTAGGGGGACTGATTTGATTCCTGTCAAGCACCTGCTGCCTTCAGACTTGTCGAGTTAGTGGAACTGGAGGGAAACATGGCAGCATTTGTGCCATTCGTACTGTAAACAAAAAAGTGACTTTAAGTCTGTATCCATTTTCAAGAAGTAAGTATTTTTTTCGATTCTCTTCAATAACAGCTTGCTTCATTTATTCTCTGTAAAGCAAAAAACAAAAAAGTATAATAATAACAGGTTGGCAAGAGTATCCGACAAGACTGTCTTCTCCAATTTACAGAGGTTAGTTAGAATCAGTCAAGCGAGATGTAGAACCATCAATCTTGAAGGTGCCTCATTGCAGAATGCAAATGGACAGCGCTGTGGATGCACAAACCAAAAACAGTGTACTGTACACGGACCTCTGTGGTTCAATCAAACTCCAGTGTAGTTACCTGATTAATCTGGTCTAATTGGGCCAGTATGGCAGCTGTCAATCAAATTACAATGTGGAGTACACAGGTGGATGATGGGTGTTTCCAAAGCAGATTCTGCTATGGTTCAGTTGTGTTTGTGTGAAAGCACAGCACCTCAGCTGCAAGCCTTCTCAAGGGAAAGACAGTTTTAAAGTCACAATTTAAAATTTAAACTATCATAAAATCCTATGAAAGGATCCTTTTTTGATGTAGAAACAATGTCTTGTTTTAGTTACATGATACTATTTGCTAACTATGGTTTGGTATGAGTTCTGCAATTCTGCCCGATGAGCCAAAAAATAAAAATAAGTCAGTAAAGACATGAATCAGTTCTAATTTAGCAGAGAGGACAAGAGAGAAAAGAGGGTGAAAAGTAGGGGAGTAATATTTACAAATGGTCATGAGGTACATTCAGTTGTGAATTTTAGAGAAGACAAATAGTGTAGCATAACTTGCTGCCAGACTTTGAAGTTTAATTTTCCCACGTGAATCTAGTGACGATGAAAATTCAAGGTGACACCAATAAAACCAGCCTTTCAGTGAGCTGTCAGTCCGTATGACTTCATGCTTAAAGCTCTTGGTGAGCCTGCCTGTGTGAACATGAACTAGATTACAGCTAAAAAGGGGGGGAAAAAATTAAATTTGCCCTTGGTTTGGACCACAATAATTGAGCCACAATGTAACCTGAGCAAAAGAATTAAAATGTGTCACATTAGCTACTGTACTATGTGTTTGAAGAGGCTCTATTATCCATCCATCAATACGATTCCTTAACCACTTCTCCTGAATTGAATAAGTGGTTAAGAAATTGGATTGCTGGAGGTCTGCAGCTTATCCCAGCTGTCACAGGAGGTGAGGCGGGGTACACCCTGAACAGGTTGCTGGTCTATCACAAGGTTAAAAGCCCATCCTTGGTCCAAAGGGATCCATTATGCTTTTCCTTATTTTCTGTGATATGCACTGTTTTCAGTTACAACTTTCTAGTATTAGGTTGGACCCCCTTTTGCCCTTAGAGCTTCCTTAATTCCTTCTTAAATAGATTCAACAAGGTGCTGGAAACATTTCTCAGAGAGGCCTTTTGAGTACAGTGAACTCACTGTCATGTTCAAGACACCAGTTTGAGGTGATTTGAGCTTTGTGATATGGCTGGAAGCAGCCATCAAAAGATTGGACCTAAAGGGATGGACAAGATCAGCAACCATACTCGGGTAGGCTGTGATGTTCACTTGGTATTAAGAGGCCCAAACTGTGGCAATAAAATATCTACCAGCTCCACCCTGAACCGTTGATGCAAGGCAGGATGGAGCCATGCTTTTAAGTTGTTTACACCAATTTCTGATCTTATCATCCAAATATCACAAGAGAAACTGAAAATCAGACCAAAAATACAAATATGGAGGTAGAAGTGAGCATAATGGATCCATTTAGCATATATATATATATCTATATATATATCTATATATATCTATATATCTATATCTCTATATATCTATATCTATATCTATATCTATATCTATATATCTATATCTATATATCTATATCTATATCTATATATCTATATCTATATATCTATATCTATATCTATATATCTATATCTATATATCTATATCTATATATATCTA